ATCTGTGCAGGAGTTTAGTTAGAGGAGATGTTGCGTGTTGCTGTCCTCCAGGGTGAATGAGAGCTGGACAGCGAGGAGATTGCTTGGAGGTGGTGTTGCGTGTTCAGGAACGTAGGGCAGAATGAATCTCAAACGGAACGGAACGGAGTCATTAGTTATGAGGTGAAAGATTATCAGGGGTTGAAAAAAAATGGTGAAACTGAAATACAGTAGGAGTAGAAAGAATCTGGGCTCAACCAGATCGCTTCATCTTTCCTATTAGTGTTTTATCTTTGTTCTGCTCCCTTGGGTCGTCAGACATAAGAACATAAGAATGGAGGAAACTGCAGCGGGCCTATTGGCCCATACTGGGCAGTCCCGTTTACACCCAACCCCTATTGGTTTATTTATATAGTGCTGCTTATTATTATTTTTATTTATTTATTTATTTTTTTATTTATTTTTTTACAGTATATATACTGCGATGGAGTTAGTGAGCCCGCCCAGGTCCTTGTGTAACTGGGAGGGTAGTCACATTTTTTTTTACTCCGATGGAGTTAATGAGCTCGCCCAGGTCCTTGTGTAGCTGGGAGGGTAGTCATTTTTTTTTTTTTGCTAAGGTGTTAGTTAAGTGTTAGTTGTGTTAGTCGAAAGGTACACTGTATGGAGAGGCCTGCCAGGTTCTTAGTGGAGCTGGTAGGTCACTCTCATCTTTTATTTTCTCTATTAATGTTTTATGTGTATATTCGGGCAGGAGGTGGTTCAACTTCTTCCACACCTATGAGGACTTAATACACGAGGAAGACGAACAACAAGACCCAAGCACGAACGAATGGACACTCCAAGAGAGCAAGAAGAGGAGGAGAGTTAGAAGAAAATCTACATCAAGCTAAGAAGAATACCAAGACATTTCCTCCACACAAGACCACAACACACACAATCTAGCCGACCAAGCACTGAGAATCCATGGCCCAACCCAACACGCACCTGACGCTTGACCTGACGCTAGCCTGGCTCAGTCCTGTCGCCTCCTGGCCGCGTCCGGGCGAGTTGCTGCTGCCTCCAACTTACACTCCCTCACGCAAGCGGTGTTTAGCCACTGCACCTATTCTCTCCTCCTAAAATTCACTTCAATCCTCCCTTTATTCTTCCCCTGAACCTCCTTCCTCCCTGTCATGTCATGTGGTGGTTCAATTACTTTCTTCCTGGCTGATGTAGCTGGGAGGGTAGTCACATTATTATTATTATTTTTTTTTTCGATGGAGTTAGTGAGCCCGCCCAGGTCCTTGTGTAGCTGGGAGGGTAGTCACATTTTAATGGAGAGACTGCGAGCTTATATACACAGCAGCCGGAAGTAAACCTGTGGAAACTCGCTGGTTTCTTGACTCCGTTGCTAGGGAAGACGTATCAGGTGGCGACCCCCGTGTAGCTAGGATACTGTAGCATTGGAATGTGGATGTAGTTGTAGGGGAGAGGTCCACTACAACCCATCCAACATTTGGAGATGAGTACTGGCTTGTTTGTTAGGTTATGTCAAAACACTGTTCCTGCAAACAAGAGCCAATAAAATGTTAAATATTTATTTCCACAAAAAATGAGTTGCATACTTTGAATCAGCATAAAAAACTGTACCAGTGACAAATTTTTCAACCAAATTTAACAGTCCAATTTTTTAATAAGATTTGAAATATCTTAGAGCAGAATGTCCAAAATAATCAGCCTCTGAAATAAATTGTACTCCACTGCTACATAACCGTCTGAACGTTGGGGGAGGGGGGGGGGGCAGCATGCTAGTGTATGAAGTAGTATTTAAAAAGTGGCCTAAATATTAGTATATTTTATAACTCATTACTCAATTATTTATATTACCAAGCTCGTAAAATGAACCACGTTTTACTCCCTTAAAAATATGCTTTGTATAATATATATTTTCTTCGTGACAGAATCTGTAACATAATTTTAATTATCAATATTATTGATATTATCTATGTTAATGGCAGCTAAATCACATTTCGTTTCTATAGCAAGACCCAAGTTATCAATGTCAGAACAGCTGTTTAAGGCACCATCAACATGCATGGATTTACTGTAATGAGATGATACATATGTTACTCGATTGGTGAATAATTATTATTATTATTAGCGCACCAGCCAGGGTGGAGATGTATTCTATAGAGTCGCCATCTTATTGCCGGTTAGGTGAAGTTAAAATATTAAATGGGCGATCCGAGAATACATTTGTACCGAAAATGGATATGGAGTGACATCGTGACGTGCCATATAATACTGTTTTTAGTCCTTGGGCAAAACTAACCTAACCTGCGCTAACCAGCCCAGCTAAACTAGACGTACACTTGCTAACAGAGCTCGGGCTGTGCGTTTTTCACGTATTTTGCTTGTCAGGAATTACGCAATTGTACAGGAAGTATCTGCGAGTTACATCCAATCGATTTATTTCCAGTTCTCAAATAAAATACCAAATATGACGTCAGTTACTACAGTTATCTATTTTATTTTGAATATTTTTATTACAGTCGCCCAGTTCCTGAAATGCCTCATAATTTATCATACAGTATATGCCAAGGGTTCCATGAGGTAAATGTTAACCTCTGGGTAGGGTGGTTTATTAAACAAAACTGTATCGGCAAGCAAAAATCGTTTCACTTCTACAGTATAGCTGAGTATTTTCCACTTACCTCCTATAACAAGCTGACTTTAAGATTGGTTATATCTGGATGATATATTCTCCGCCATTCCGTCAGCACTCACTCTTGGTGCCATTGTTACTATTAACATGATATACTTTTAATATTTTTCTTTGTACTAAGATACATGTGTGTTCTTAGATGAATGTAAAGATACTTGGAAATGTGACCTGTTGAGGCATTTTTCATGGTATTGATACACCTTGACATCACACATTTACAACGGCAGTTAAATACACCCCGGCATCATACTTTCATCCACTCAGACAATAGCATACACTTACAATAGTTTGATACACCAGACGACACTAGAGTTTGATACACCAATATAATACTCCAGTACACACATGACTTTGATGCACCTAGACAACATTACACACATATGAGTTTGATACACCCAAGTTCTCTTCTATAGGCCTTGGATACACCCAGACAACACTCCAAACACGTAAGAGCTTGATACACCCAGCCAACACTACATATATAAGTTTGATACACCCAAACAACACTCCACATATGAGATTCCTACGCCCAGACAACACTCCACATATGAGTTTCCTACGCCCAGACAACACTCCACATGAGTTTCCTACGCCCAGACAACACTCCACATATGAGTTTCCTACGCCCAGACAACACTCCACATATGAGTTTCCTACGCCCAGACAACACTCCACATATGAGTTTCCTACGCCCAGACAACACTCCACATATGAGTTTCCTACGCCCAGACAACACTCCACATATGAGTTTCCTACGCCCCGACAACACTCCACATATGAGTTTCCTACGCCCCGACAACACTCCACATATGAGTTTCCTACGCCCAGACAACACTCCACATATGAGTTTCCTACGCCCAGACAACACTCCACATATGAGTTTCCTACGCCCAGACAACACTTCAAACATATATGAGTTTGATACACCCAGACAATACTACACATGTGAGCTTGATACTCCCAGACAACCTACACACGTGAGTTTGATGCACCCATACAAAACTACACATACTGTATGAGTTTGATACACCCAGACAACACTACACACACCCAGACAATATTACGCACGTACATCCCTAATCTGATATACAACACACTGCCCATAACCATTACACCGATATAGTAATGTCATTCTTATTGGCATCTTTATAAACATAAATAGTCTGGTAACGTTTGAGGAAACTCTACTTGTATACATATTCCCACGTTACATGGTGGCGGCGGTGAGGGATGGAGGGGGGGAAGGAGGGTGAGAGCGTCGCCTCACCACCCCAAGGTTCCTCAATCCTCAGTCCTCCCGGACACTCACCCGCCTCCCGAGACAGAGGAAGGGGAGAATAGCATTTAGGAAACAGGACATGCCTGAAAATCAGTCTATAAGAAAAAAAAATGTCCTCCCATTACTAATTGTCAGTCTCAAGAATTTTAGACCACACATTTTTTAAAATGAGCATGATTTAAAAATCAGCACCATATATTTGTTACCTTTGTACTTCCATTTATAACTATTTTTAAAGATCCACCTATGTACAGTCGGCGTTGAGGAAAATTAGTTTTCTCATGTTGAATTTCATCTCATACTTTTAATGTGGAGAATATGTTTGCTTATGATCTAAGACTTAGCTAACCAAGTCGTTTGACTGCCTTGTCAAAATTTGGAGTTTGGCCAAATGCACGTGAAATGCGCACTGTCCTTTTTAAAATGATAACATATTTATAGTGACTAAGTAAAGGCATCATGCACCGCCATATATCTTGCACAAATAGCAACAGGTTAAAGACGGACCCTGTAATAATGGAGTAATTATGAAAGGGAAACACACTTTCAAGTTATACATAGGAGCATTCGATTATGTATATACATATATGAGTAATATTACAAAGATACACTGAGGTTGACTTGTAGCTTGTCGAGAATTGTGGGGCCTACGAACAGCGTACTTTAGCGACCGCGCGGTGCGGTAGGGCCTCCCTGAAGTTCCTGGCAGCTGTAGGATGGCCCGCGTTTTGCCTGCTACTGTGCCAAAGTCTTTTATGGATATATAGATAGTTTTTCTTGAATTATAGTTTAAAATATAAAACTTGTATATGAACAAATAATAAAAGATTTTTTGGGTCACTTAATATATATTTTTCTAAATGCTGAGATAAATATTTGATATACAAAAACTAAAGCAGTAGTTTGGCAAGGGCGCATGACGTATTTCAAATAACTCCTCCTATTGGGTGGAGCTAACGCGTTGCCATAGAAACGCTGCGTTTTTATTGGTCGATACTAATGCATTGTGGGAGAACAATTGTGCGCGGGAAACCCGGTGATTCAACGACTCTCAGTCTCTTGCCTGACAAACGCGGAGCTAAGTGGACCTGTGCTCTATCTCTCTCAGTCGAATATTATTTTTTTTAACGTGATACCACCACCCAATTCATTCAGAATGGCTGATACTGCTCCTAATGTTGTGTAAGTATATAGAGAGTTGTGTTAAGTGTCCATAGCAGTGATAAAGAAAACTAAAATGAGGATGACGCCGGTCCCCACGTCCCAAGTGCTTGTACACCAGCCAGTGAATTAACTCGTGAAAGATTATTTTTTTTCAGTGTATTTATTTAAGTACAGTGTTTAATTTTTAGTAATTGATCACAAGTGAAAACTAAAGTGCCCACAGTAACGGTGCTGTGATCTGTAGGGTACCCATAGAAATAGTGTTATTGAACGTACATATTCTCCAGTTTCAGGTAAGGTGTTAGATAAAGTGAATAAATTTATTTGGTTGTGCTGTATTATTAGATAATTAGTGTGAAATTGTTTGGCGGGAAATGAAGTCGCCCAATGCCACGACTTAAATAAATATCTACAGGAAAGTAGAACAAAGGCGTCGGTTTGGCGGGACTTAAATTTTACATTTTACGGTACTGTACCCCAGCATCCTTTGTTACATGTTTCATCACATTTCCATATTCTGTAAAGTTTCCCTGTTGTGTGATAGGGTTTGTCTTGTAATTTACGAGGTCGATTTAAAAGCGACATACAGTATAGTTCAATAACTCCTCTCGTCTTTTACACCTCGTTAGGCTTATTGACAATCATGGTATTTAATCATTCTGCCTGTATTCTGCTGATAATTTTTGTTTTTCTTGAATAATGAGCGATATTGCCTACAAGGTCACTACTAATGCCTTTCGGCTGGCCCATTTTGAATTGTCCTCATTCGACTTGGACTGATTTACAGTCTCATGGAATTAGCATATTCGTGCATATTATTGGAATAATCTTATTTCAATGCTTGTCGTTATTACTGTCTCAGGTTTGAAATGTGAACGCAAGCCTTACTAGTTGGGTTGTTAAACACCACTAGACTGTGGCTTATTAGATCATATGAGCTAATAATGACGCGTGATTTTGATTCCGTGTGTATTATTTTTTGTAACCTAAAATGGCGGTGATCGCTGTAACTTGGATAGAAGATGAGATTGAGGTGAAGTGTAATTAGTACCAAGGGTTGTCAAGTAAGCGGATGATTGGAGGGCAAGTGGCATTAAGATTACTGAACTTAGGTGTAAAATTATGGTAGTACAGTAATTAACGTATAGCTCTTGCCCATTGAGTCCTCAAATTATGGTGACTTGAGCGTCTTAAATTATTTCGCTTAAGGTTTGAAAATTAGGTTTTTTACCGTGGATGACAATCTGTTGTATGGAAACGCCTGGTGTTCTGTTGAGTTAGGCCTTTGTGGAGAAGCTATGCTGGGGGGTCAGGAGGGCAGACAATCACCGGGGTCCTAATCCCCTAGCCAAAGGTGCCCACTCTGTCAGGACGCTGTAGCTGTAACCACGTGCATCAACATTTCCTCAAACTATAATGTGCTCAGGCGCTCCCCGGAAATATGACTGATCTTGCGCTGAAATATTACCTTTAATAATTTTTTATAGGGCTACGTTATCTACGGCCAGAATGAAGAATTTTCCATGATTACAGTAACCATTTATCCACGTGTAGGGCATGCCCATCGGAGTAGTAATAGCTGCAAGTGAGGAGCATGTGACTTAGGGCTCTAGTAAGTGAAAATTTGTTTGATTTCTGAAGATACAAAGTTTTAATCTTGTAAGGTCTAACATTTCACGGTTTTCTGTAAATGAATAAGTCTCTTAAGACTACGTAAGGACCTCTGTAGGATAAGGCAACTGGCGGTGTATCAGGCAGGCAGGCGGGCGGGCAAACCCTTGTCCCGAGCTATCCTGTGTTCCTCCCTGGCGGCTGGCTACAGGGGTTTTGACCGCATGGCGCGTTCGTTCGTCACGATGGTGCTGCCGTTACACCATTTTTTTGCCGCCCATGAACCTCGGGGCCTAATATACCGGATATCAGAGCTTGTGGGAATATGATTTTTGAGGCTATGGGAACCTTAGCGTAACAAATTAGTTAGATGCATATAATATACAGTATATGCTGTTAACCATTAGGTGGCAACACAAATTTACGAAACCAAAACTGCTGCTATAGCGTGCGGTCTACGAAGATAAAGTATTTACACAAGCGTGCGGTCTACAACTGATTTTCTTTATACATATAGACTGCGGTGGTATCAAAATTATCTGATTTATTATTTTTAGGTTAACTAAATCAGCTCAGTGCAACTTCGTCAGGAAACGTAGACCGCGCGTCAGTTCACGTCCTTGTAGACCACACACTATAGTTGGTAACATCAAACCTGTACGGTACAGGTTTGGTGTTACCAAGTACTGCAGGTACAGACTGTACCTGCAGTACAAGTACATGGCACACTACACATTGCTTGCACATGTCACCATACACCATGTACACCTCTCCCAATGTGCACACTGTATACATACAAAATGCCCACTTGCATGTACCACCCCATTGCACACACCATCCCCTCTATATCCTACATGCACATTGCTATACACTACTCTACCCTTGTTCATAATCTACACCACTCTTGTTCATAATCTACATAAACGATTTAGATACTGGGATCAGGAGTGACATAAGCAAGTTTGCGGATGACACATAAGAACATAACATAAAACGTAAGAACTTAAGAATGGAGGAAACTGCAGCGGGCCTATTGGCCCATACTGGGCAGTCCAGTTTACACCCAACCCATATTGCTCATATAAGCATCCAACCTATGTTTGAAGCTATCCAGCGTATTCGAGTTAATGATGATATTTGGTATCTTGTTCCATTCATCCACTACTGTTTCCAAACCAGTGTTTATCTATTACAAAGGTACTCAAACTATCCAACCAGGAGCGAACTCGTAACAATGGTTTTAAATTAGACAAATTTAGATTTAGGCGGGAAATAGGTAAACACTGGTTTGGAAACAGAGCAGTGGATGAATGGAACAAGTTACCAAATATCATCATTAACTCGAATACGCTGAATAGCGTCAAACATAGGTTGGATGCTTATATGAGCAATAGGGGTTGGGTGTAAACGGGACTGCCCAGTATGGGCCAATAGGCCCGCTGCAGTTTCCTCCATTCTTATGTTCTTATGTTCTTATAGGTTGGATGCTTATACTGTATGAGCAATAGGGGTTGAGTGTAAACGGGACTTCCCAGTATGGGCCGATAGGCCCGCTGCAGTTTCCTCCATTCTTATGTTCTATCAAGATAGGTTAAAGAAACTAAACTTGCATTCCCTAGAAAGACGAAGAGTGTGGGGAGATATGATAGAATTATTTAAGTGGGTGAAAGGAATCAATAAAGGCCATATTGATAAAGTTCCTATAATATTCGAGCAGGATAGGACTCATAGCAACGGATTTAAGTTGGATAAGTTTAGGTTTAGGAGGGAGATATGAAGGAACTGCCATGCAGGCCAACCGGCCTATTGCAGACTCCGTATGTTTATATCTGAAGTGTAACAAAAGGTGCAGTCTTATTACCCAGCTATATCTTTGCGCTAACGTGTCGGAAGGCTGCACCTCGATTATGCGGTTCAGTTCTGGTGCCCCTATTATAGAATGGATATAAATTCACTAGAGTCGGTGCAGCGAAGAATGACAAAAATGATTCCGGGACTTAGACACCTTCCATATCAGGATAGGTTAAAGAAACTTAACTTACATTCCCTAGGAAGACGAAGAGTGCGGGAGATGATAGAAGTATTTAAGTGGGTGAAAGGAATCAATAAAGGGGATATAGATAAAGTTCTTATAATATCCGAGCAGGATAGGACTCGTAGCAACGGATTCAAGTTGGATAAGTTTAGGTTTAGGAGGGAGATAGGAAGAAACTGGTTCACAAATAGGGTGGTGGACGAGTGGAACAAGCTTAGCAACTTTGTAGTACCTGCTGGAACTCTGGAAAGTTTCAAAAGGAGGCTAGATAGATTCATGGATGATAGAGAGTGGTAGTAACTCTCGACAGGAGCTGCCAGGCACAGGCCAACCGGCCTATT